TAATTTTTGCCAGGAACATAGCAGATACACTTGGACTTGCACCCGGAGTAGGATTAATACCACCCAACAAAACAGTGCATGGAGTTAAATTACCCGATTTAGTTCCCTATAAAGAGTTGTGCATCCATCTTGATCAGATAAGTACGACGGATAATATTCAACTAGAAAGTCCTTCAACTCTACTCAGAGCTATTCCAGTCAAAGATGAAAAATACAATAGCAGTAGAACGGAATCTTTCTCATCATTACAATATAAAAAATTAAAGCGTGGTATTATTTCAGATCTCAAAATTTCTGTATTAGATGTAAAACATCAACCTGTACATATAGGATACTTGAGTGTAACACTCCATATTATAAATAATGGTTGATTCATCAGGCCCTGGAACGCTCAGACAGTGTAATACAATTGCGCTTTCCGATCTCGGAGACACAGAAGGATTTGGTAAACCCGGTACCGATAGTAAGTTTTACCCTTTACACTTACAAGATAATGTATACAAGCGGAAAGAAGTTAATCTAGGAGATTTAAGCGATGTCGACGTTAGTAGACTCCATAAAAACACTTCATATAATCTTACCCTCAACGAGGATAATAAATGGACTATGATCGAAGCAAACATCGAGTGGCTACTGAATATCGTCATTACCCCACCGTATGTGATGATGGGTAAGGCACAAAATTCAACTAAGATAATAAATAGTGGGATCGTACTCGGGGATTATATCCCATCAAAACGAAAAAGTGTGTTAGTCACCCCCCTGCCAGAAAACCCAGGTCATATAGTCGTCCGGCATAAAAAAATGTTGCAGTATTATTCATATTGGAGCATCACCCGTTGCAACCCTTGAGGGGGTTCAAATTATTAAAAGTGACAGCATTTCTCTTACTAAGATATTCATGCCGTATAATATACATTTGATAAGGTTGATGTATACTCTCAAAACATTTAAGCAAGACCCATTAAAGACTATTATATGATATAATAATAATATGGATTTATATCCAGCGCGGGAAGTTGATGAATTTCGATTACATCAAATAAGCGACATAAAACATCGAATAGAGAGGGAGAGGGAGTTGAGACTTGGATTGTATAAAAAGTACCGCAGAGTCATGAATTCTCTTGACGGAGTTTACACCGCGCTTGTAACAGCTGGCATGGGACTCGGTGTAGCCGGTGTTGGTTTATTATCAACTATAATCGCCGCGCCTATCGTACTTGGCATGCAAATAGCCGCTGGAGTCTCAGGACTGGCAGGAATAGCGATAAAATTCATTTCTCGTAAGTTGCAAAAGAAAGCATTAAAACACGATAATATTCGGATACTCGCCAAAGCAAAGTTGAACAGCATTGAGGATCATATTTCAACAGCAATGGCTGATTGTAAGATATCCGAAGAGGAGTTTCGTTTAGTGTTGTCAGAACTCACCAAATACAACGCAATGGAGCAGGAGATTCGATTAAAGACCAGTGGTATTAGTAGCGACGACGAGGAAAAAAAGTTCATAGAACAGGGGAGACAACAATTAATCTGTGTCAAAACCAACATTTAGAAGAATGCTCACATAAATATATAATAATGGAATTTATGCTCAGGGACAAAATTATCAAATGGAGAGAATTACCACAAGGTATATATTATATCAGTGATATCAAACCAACCAAATACGGTCATCAATTGTTTCTTTCCAATTACCAAGAAGAGTATAGCCTGGTCTCCTAGTAAAATGAACGAAGAACTTAGTAAAAATGTTGAATATCACTTTGTTAAAAATAATGGTATACGTATGAATGAAAATAATAGAGAATATTTTCATTACAATTTAGTTTAATCTCATGAAGATCGTTAAATCACATCAGCGTTTACACATAAAAAATTCCCTCTGTAGTGGTGGTATAGGTATATAAATCTGGCTCTAGTGAAAGTGAGCCAGAACCCCCATTACCTATACTACTATAGTTATACCAAGGTTCTGTCCATCTGTCTGTCCGAAAACTTTGTCCGCACGATTTCTCTTAAACTATTCAGTGGATTCATCTCAAACTTAGTACATATAATCTGTGTCATATGGAGGGGTGCAGTCAAAAGAAAAAAATTGTTTTTATTAATTTCCATTTTTTTATGAATTTTTCAAACCCTAAGGTCCGTCCGAAAACTTTGTCTGCGCGATTTCTCTTAAACTATTCAGTGGATTCATCTCAAACTTAGTACATATAATCTGTGCCATATGGAGGGGTGCATTCAAAAGAAAAGAATTGTTTTTATTAATTTTCCATTTTTTTATGAATTTTTCGAACCCTGACCCTATCCATTATTTAATTTGAAACTTCTGACACACTAGGAGGGTCGGGGGTATTAGTGATCATCGCTCACTTTTTTTTCATGTGTAAATGTCCATGAATAATAGTTTCGATGGATCCATGGCTAAGATGTGTGTATTCCTCAAGTCCAGCAATGGTAATACGTCTATCTGACAGTATAATGATTGAATCTTCATTGATGGAAGTTGAGGGACGTTCAGACCTAGGGCCATCATCAATGCTTCTTCTCCCAACCTTAAACATAACTGCCCAACCTTTAACAGTGGAATAGCTAGGGCACATATCCCCATACACTTGTAACATGCAGTCATGAATTTCTTGGGGAGTACTTTTCTCTGAAGTCAAAAACCTGATGACTGCTCGGTACTTGTTCTTTTCCATTTTTGTATCCATGTGGACCCCTATCGCGTTCAACTGGCTGTCAAGCAGCCTCAACAGACTAAATACACTTGCAATGTACAACTCAAACAAAGTACTACATTGACTAGTTCACTTTGTTATGGCCCATAGTTAAAAGTTAGTCAGGCTTAGAGCTTTTTGACCAGCCCTCGTAACTGTGCTGGTTAGTGTAATGTATGTAACTGTGCTGGTTAGTGTAATGTATGTAACTGTGCTGGTTAGTGTCATGCATGTAACTGTGCTGGTTAGTGTCATGTATGTAACTGTGCTGGTTAGTGTCATGTATGTAACTGTGCTGGTTAGTGTCATGTATGTAACTGTGCTGGTTAGTGTTATGTATGTAGCTGTGCTGGTTAGTGTCATGTATGTAACTGTGCTGGTTAGTGTCATGTATGTAACTGTGCTGGTTAGTGTCATGTATGTAACTGTGTTGGTTAGTGTCATGTATGTAACTGTGCTGGTTAGTGTAATGTATGTAACTGTGCTGGTTAGTGTCATGTATGTAACTTTGCTGGTTAGTGTAATGTATGTAACTGTGCTGGTTAGTGTCATGCATGTAACTGTGCTGGTTAGTGTAATGTATGTAACTGTGCTGGTTAGTGTCATGTATGTAACTGTGCTGGTTAGTGTCATGTATGTCACTGTGCTGGTTAGTGTAATGTATGTAACTGTGCTGGTTAGTGTAATGTATGTAACTGTGCTGGTTAGTGTCATGCATGTAACTGTGCTGGTTAGTGTAATGTATGTAACTGTGCTGGTTAGTGTAATGTATGTAACTGTGCTGGTTAGTGTAATGTATGTAACTGTGCTGGTTAGTGTAATGTATGTAACTGTGCTGGTTAGTGTCATGTATGTAACTGTGCTGGTTAGTGTCATGTATGTAACTGTGCTGGTTAGTGTTATGTATGCAACTGTGCTGGTAAGTGTCATGTATGTAACTGTGCTGGTTAGTGTCATGCATGTAACTGTGCTGGTTAGTGTAATGTATGTAGCTGTGCTGGTTAGTGTCATGTATGTAACTGTGCTGGTTAGTGTCATGTATGTAACTGTGCTGGTTAGTGTAATGTATGTAACTGTGCTGGTTAGTGTAATGTATGTAACTGTGCTGGTTAGTGTCATGTATGTAACTGTGCTGGTTAGTGTAATGCATGTAACTGTGCTGGTTAGTGTAATGTATGTAACTTGGATGGTTAGTGTAATGTATGTAACTGTGCTGGTTAGTGTCATGTATGTAACTGTTAGTGTCAGTTCATAACTGTTAGTGTCATGTGTGTAACTTGGCTAGTTATTGTCATGTATGTAACTTGGCTGGTTATTGTCATGTATGTAACTGTTCTGGTTACTATCATGCATGTAACTGTGCTGGTTAGTGTCATGTATGTAACTGTTAGTGTCATGTATGTCACTGTTAGTGTCATGTATGTAACTGTTAGTGTCAGTTCATAACTGTTAGTGTCATGTATGTAACTTGGCTGGTTATTGTCATGTATGTAACTGTTAGTGTCATGTATGTCACTGTTAGTGTCATGTATGTCACTGTTAGTGTCAGTTTATAACTGTTAGTGTCATGTATGTAAATTGGCTGGTTAGTGTCATGTAAGTAACTGTTAATATCCTGTATGTAACTGTTAGTGTTGGGTATATAACTGTTAATGTCATGTTTGTCACTGTTAGTGTCGGGTATATAACTGTTAGTGTCATGTTTGTCACTGTTAGTGTCATGTATGTAACTGTAAGTGTCATGTATGTCACTGTTAGTGTCATGTATGTCACTGTTAGTGTCATGTATGTCACTGTTATTGTCATGTATGTCACTGTTAGTGTCATGTATGTAACTGTTAGTGTCGGGTATATAACTGTTAGTGTCATTTTCGTCACTGTTAGTGTCGGGTATATAACTGTTAGTGTCATGTTTGTCACTGTTAGTGTCATGTATGTCACTGTTAGTGTCATGTATGTCACTGTTAGTGTCGGGTATATAACTGTTAGTGTCATGTATGTCACTGTAAGTGTCATGTATGTCACTGTTAGGGTCATGTATGTCACTGTTAGTGTCATGTATGTCACTGTTAGTGTCATGTATGTCACTGTTAGTGTCATGTATGTAACTGTTAGTGTCGGGTATATAACTGTTAGTGTCATGTATGTCACTGTTAGTGTCATGTATGTCACTTTTAGTGTCATGTATGTCACTGTAAGTGTCATGTATGTCACTGTTAGTGTCCTGTATGTAACTGTTAGTGTCCTGTATGTAACTGCCTGTGCTGTGTGTAGGATGAGCGGGACCGCCAACTCTCTCTGATGGTGGAGAGAAAGAACCGAGTACTGTATGAACGCACCAAGACGCAGCGCAGCAGCACATCTCCTGACAGCAGTGGTTTCGAGGAGATTGTGAAGAAGGAAGGACTTCATCTGACCACTGATGAGAAAATGGAACTGGCAGCACAGCAGCTACAAGAAAAGTTTCAAAGAGAGTCTGATGCTCAAGTGGTAAGTGTCAAAACTGATACAGACTCTGATTGGAAAAGAAATATGACCTGAACTCAATTATTTGATCTCTCAGTCAATATCCATCCCGACTGTACCACTTTGATTCCATGTCTGCCACACGCATCTTTAGAGAAGTGAAATCTCTGCTGGTCAGGTTGTTGAGTCCTTCATGTAGGACCCCATCTCCACCCAACTTCTGCCCTAGTGAAGATTATTGATATTAGAGGATATCCTGTGATGGACTTCTTCCTCATGTCCCTTGTCACAGAATTAAGGTCATGGTCGCAAGACAGTTACAACTTTTCTTAACAAATGGTATATACAAGTATAAAGTGAGTGAGTGAGTGACAAAGTTTCATCTCATCAGCGATATTACAGCCATATAGCGATGAGAACAAGGTATTCATTGTTTATATATGTAAACAAAGGACTGTCTACACACCATCAGCAACCAAAGCTGGGGATCATGGTGACTTACAGTCCTCTGCTTCCTGCAGGACTCCCCAGCAGGTTTTAAGCCTACATTTTGATAAACAGTGGATCTACGTTATGCTAGCCAGTATTTTAAAAAAACACACACACAAAACAATCGGAGTTATGTACCTACATCAAGAATGGACTTGGAAGTGCATATAAATTCCCACGAAGTTTCTTTCTTTTAGTGCTTTCACCTGTTCCTGAGAAACATGCAACTGCATTAAATTACTAAGACGTATTGTTAAGTTGTTAGTGGTTACCCCTCAATTTTAATGAAAATAATTTGAAAAATGGTGTTTACAGCAGCTTATGTTAGTGGCTCTCTTTGTTGACATTTTAAAGTGTTAACTTGAATAACTTCACATATCCAGGCTACTGTGTTCTCTTTGTATGGACTGGAGAGCATGGTCTGACTGACTGATATAGAAGATTTAACGTGCGCTTTCCGACTGCAGCGTATTTCGCACACGGGCCTGGCCAGACCATTTAGTGTATTCCGAGAAGGGTGAAAGTGGTGTGTGCAACCCAAGAGGGGGCTTTTAGGGGTTGCTTATATCGATTTTTTGAAATTTTAAAATTTGGAATCAATGCTGAGGTGGGTGGAGGAGGGAACTAAGGGAGCCGGGTGAGGTGGGTGTTTGTTATGTTTATTGGATTTTGGATTGGTAGATTAATTAGTTTTTAGATGCGCTTGATTAGGCCTGTTTTGTTTAGGAATACGCCTAGGGCCTTGAAGTTTTCTAGTTTATTTTGAGGGTTTAGTATTTCATCTAGAGTAGGAACCTTATTTAGATTGAGGTTGGTTTGTAGTGTGGTTCTGTGTGTTTGGTAGTGGGTGCAGTGGATGAGTGCGTGTTCTGTGGTTTCGGGTTGTTTGCAGTGGGGGCAGTTGCCTGTGGTGTGTCTTTTAAGTTGTTTTAGGTGGTTATTTAGGTTCGTGTGTCCTGTTTGGAGTTTTGTAATTAATCTGTCAATTTTTTTTGAGGGGTGTAGGATTTTAGGTTTGGCTAGTGGTTTTCTGAGCACTTTTTGGATTTGGCTATTTGAGTTTTGATATTGATTATGCCATTTTTTGGTTATTTTTTGTTTGTTTACACTTTTAATTTCTGATTTTGAGATGGGTAGGTTTAGGCTTATTTCTGGTATTTTGAGGGATAATTTAGCTGCTTTATCGGCGCTTTCGTTGCCGTAAATTCCTACGTGGGCGGGGATCCACAAGAAGGTTATTTGTTTGCCTGCTTTTGTTAGGTCGTTGGAGCTTTTAAGTATTTGGTTTATTAATTTAGGTCGTTTTTTGGTATTTTTGTTTTGGAGGGCTTGTAGCCCACTAAGCGAGTCAGTGAGAATTAGGATTTTTTTGTTGTTTTTTGATTGTTGGTTATGCAGGGCTGAGGCCATGCCCATAAGTTCGGCCGTGAATATAGATTGGTTGTTAGGGAGTCGGTAAGATTGTGTGGATATAACTGGTTGTGTGGTATGGACTCCGAAACCTGTGTGGTTGGAGATCGGGTCTGAAGATCCGTCAGTGTATATGTGACACCAATTTGGCCAATTTTCGTGTATGTATGAAAGTGTGGTGGTTTTAGCTATGTTTGGGTCGGTTTGTTTATTTATTTGGTTAGTTAGCGTTGTGTCTATTTGGGGTATTTTGAGTTTAGGGGTGAAGATATTTGATTTTTTGCAATTTTGTTTAAGATTTTGAGTTTGGTGTTCATTGAGGTAGTTAGTTATTCTTTGGGATATTGGGGTGAGTAAGGGGTGTTTGCGAGCTAGAGCTTGGTTTCTTGGGCTAATGTTTTGGTTAATTAGGTTTTGGATGAGAGGGTTTGTTTGGGACGCGGCCCAGAAATTAAGGCTTAGATGTTCCCTGCGTAGATTTAGTGGCATTTCTCCTGTAAGGGCCTGAAGTGAGGTGTAGGAGGTGCCATGTTGGGTGCGTGTAATTAGTTTAAGGGCTTGGTATTGTATTGAGTCAAGTTTTTTAGTTAGAGAGTTGTTTAGGGTAACATGCAACTGCATTAAATTACTAGGACGTATTGTTAAGTTGTTAGTGGTTACCCCTCAATTTTAATGAAAATAATTTGAAAAATGGTGTTTACAGCAGCTTATGTTAGTGGCTCTCTTTGTTGACATTTTAAAGTGTTAACTTGAATAACTTCACATATCCAGGCTACTGTGTTCTCTTTGTATGGACTGGAGAGCATGGTGTTTGTTTATCCATAATGTAATTGCTGCCACAGGGATCAGGCAGTGTGCTGCTAGGTGACCAGGCCCGGTTTGACCAGCTGAAGGCACGGAGACAGCAGCGACGGAAGAAAGGTGCAGCAGAAGAACAGACACAATAACAACACAGTCAATCTGGGGATTTAATGCTGCAGAAGAGGGAGTGTCATCCTTCGGCTTACCACACAAATAATGTTTCCCATATTGGATATATTTTGTAACTTACTGGTATTTTCATTGTGTATTCATGCAATTGTCTTTTTTTTACATTTTATTTATTTGTACTTAACATTTGTTGATGGGAGTAGCAGGTATACTCTCAAACAAACCTGATGGGTGAAGGTGATGTGAGATTATTGATACTGTCAGACATTACTTATCAATATTGTATTTTCATATGCCTGATGTGTTTTTCTTTGTCAATTACATAAACTGTCCACCTCTGTTGGACAGCATTTTGGTGCAGGGTGTATTTTGTTACATGTACACAGTGTATAATGAATGTCTAAGATTTCATTACAATCTTCTGAATGTCATATTCCCTTTTGCAACAAAATATAATTATTTTCTTGCTGTTAGGTAAACCTTTCAAAACAGGTGCCCTCGGCTGGAATATGAGTTAAGGTTCACACAGTATTGCTCTTTCATGAAATGAATGTCAGTTGGTAATCTCCCGTGCATTCACAAGCCTCGTGATGAATGTCAGGGAATAACTTCCAAGTGTTTACCAGTTATTTTCATGTTAATTGGAATCCTCCAGAGCATTGATTAAGATCAAGCTAAACCTTTTCCATTTTCCTTGTTTTGCATTTTTTTAAAAACATTTCTTGTAGTAGTTTGAACAAAATCAGAAATAAATTGACATTTCCTATAATGATTTTTTTTGGTTCAAAGTGTTGTTAGATTGTCTCTTCGGTTCACATATTGTAACCTGTTGTCCTGAACATGTTAGTTTGGATAAATTCAAAAATAGAGCTTGTCAGATGTATTATTAATGTCTATGGAATCCATGAACCAATCTTCACAATAGGAATTAGTCTCACCTTTATTATATCACTATGTCCATTACCTGAGACAGTTATAGGTGAAACAATTCAACTAAATGTCGAGGTCATTACCTGAGACAGTCATAGGTGAAACTACTCAACTTAATGTCGAGGTCATTACCTGAGACAGTCATAGGTGAAATATTCAACTAAATGTCGAGGTCATTACTTGAGACAGTTATAGGTGAAACTATTCAACTAAATGTCGAGGTCATTACCTGAGACAGTTATAGGTGAAACTATTCAACTAAATGTTGAGGTCATTACCTGAGACAGTTATAGGTGAAACTATTCAACTAAATGTTGAGGTCATTACCTGAGACAGTCATAGGTGAAATTATTCAACTTAATGTCGAGGTCATTACCTGAGACAGTCATAGGTGAAACTACTCAACTTAATGTTGAGGTCATTACCTGAGACAGTTATCGGTAAAACTATTCAATTAAATGTCAAGGTCATTACCTGAACTAAGGGTTAAATGAATCATTTTCTTGAAAAGTCTTATTTGATTATACTAGATTAAAATAACACTTTTATGTCAGAACTACATTCAGTCTTCCTCACTGACTAAACATCATGAGGATATAGTCTATCAAGGTGATGACACACTGATACATGATGCTGTACATGGTGAGGTAGTACCGGTACCTCCTATTTGTGAAGTTGAAAATGATGTCCCACAGGAAACACCCAGATCAGCCTCCAGTTGAGATTGGGAAACAGATGTAATTGTGAATCTTGGCGAGCATCCCACGTGTCAATGGGATAAAAGGTATTTATCATGTTTGAGAATATCAGTATTAATAAAGTTTTTATACTCTTCGAATTGTTGTTCTTATAGAAAAAACAAAAACAACCCAGATGACACAATTAGAATTCCATTTTTGTTGGCTCGTTTTTTAATTTGATAAAGACAGTACTGTAGCTGTTATTCTAGTGTATGCATATTCTTACCACGACAAGAAATGTTGAAATCTACACAAACAGTGAACTGTTGTTTAACACTTTAGTGAGACCAGGGGTCCGGAAACGGTCATATGCGCCAGACATGTCCGATTGGGAATCTCAAATGTCCGGTTTAAAATATTGCTTACCAGACATTTAAATTTTTCTGTCCGGACATTTTGAAAAGTATCGTCCGGACATTCTTAAATTTTGACCGGAAATTATCAACAGTTAGGACTGAGCAGTTTCTGTCTGCAGTTGTAACACAATAAAGATCATCTACACTGACAAGCTTTGTTTGTTTTGATTGCTGTAAATACATCGTACCTACATGATAGTCCAATCGGTCAATCACTGTAATAGGCAATAAACTGAGTTGACACAGACTGGAGACACTGAGTCAAGGATTAATTACTGAGAACATCTTGTTAATTTGAGTGCAAGGTGTTTACAACTGTACATAAATACCTTGCATCATGGATTTACCTAACTCAATACAATATCAGCCTCTCAAACTAATTACACGCACCCAACATGGCACCTCCTACACTTCACTTCAGGCCTTAACAGGAGAAATGCCACTAAGTCTACGCAGGGAACAGCTAAGCTTAAATTTCTGGGCCGCATCCCAATCAAACCCTCTAATCCAAAACTTAATAAACCAAAATATCAGCCCCAAAAACCAAGCTCTAGCTCGTAAACACCCCTTACTTACCCCAATACCCCAAAGAATAACAAACTACCTAAATGAACACCAAATTAAAAATCTTAAACCAAACTGCAAACAATCAAATATCTTCACCCCTAAACTTAAAATACCCAAAATAGACACAATACTAGCTAGCCAAATAAATAAACAAACCGACCCAAACATAGCTAAAACCACCACACTAGCATACATACACGAAAATTGGCCAAATTGGTGTCACATTTACACTGACGGATCTTCAGATCCGACCTCCAAACACACAGGTTTCGGAGTCCATACCACACAACCAACTAAAACTACACAATCCTTCCGACTCCCAAACAACCAATCAATATTCACGGCAGAACTAATGGGCATGGCCTCAGCCCTCCATAGTCAAGAATCCAAAAACCACAATAAAATCCTAATACTTACCGACTCCCTAAGTGGACTGCAAGCCCTCCAAAACAAAAATACCAAAAACCGACCTAAATTTATAAATCTAATACTTAAAAGCTCCAACGACCTAACTAACGCAGGCAAACAAATAACCTTCTTGTGGATACCCGCCCACGTAGGAATATACGGTAATAAAAACGCCGATAAGGCAGCTAAACTATCCCTCAAAATCCCAGAAATAAGCTTAAACTTACCCATCTCAAAATCAGAAATTAAAAGTGTAAATAAGCAAAAAATCACCAAAAAATGGCATAACCTATATCTAAACTCAAATAGCCAAATCAAAAAAGTACTCAGCAAACCACTAACCAAACCAAATATTCACCATCCATCAAAAAAAATCGACAGAGTAATCACTAAACTCCAAACAGGACACACCAACCTAAATAACCACCTAAAATTTTTTTAAAAAAAACATACTACGGGTAACTGCCCACACTGCAAACAACTAGAAACCCCAGAACACGCACTCATCTACTGCACACACTACCTAACACATCGAACCGCATTACAAACCACCCTCAATCTAAACAAGGCTCTAACTCTAGAAGCAATACTAAACCCACAAAATAAAATAGAAAAATTCAAAGCCTTAGGCGTATACTTAATCAAAAACAGGACTAATAAATCGCATTTAAAACCCCAATAAACTACCAAAACCAGACCACATAATCAAACTAACAAACTTCCATACTCAGGTCCCTTAGTTCGTCCCCCAAACCCTCTTGGCATTTTTTCAAAATTTCAAAATTTCCAAAATTCTATATAAGCAACCACTAAAACACCCCTACTGGATTGCCAAACAACTTTTTCCCCTTTCGGAAACACATTAAATGGCTTGGCCGGGCCCGTGTGCGAAATACGCTGCAGTCGGAAAGCGCACGTTAAATCTCCAAAGTAAGTACGTAACCTCAGACAAGAAGCGAAAGCGTGACAACAGCCAGTCGACCGATGCAGATCAGTCTAGCGGATCTGCCAAACCCTCGATGTCTGGGCGATCATTTTGTAAGTCGTGGTTAACGACTTTCACTTGGTTGACATACAATGAGGATTTGCAGATTATATTGTTTTCAGTAGCTGGTCGTATATTGAATCTTGATTGACCGCCATTTTGTTTTCTGTGACGGTCGATATCATATTGTTTACACTCTCCTACCCAGAGTTCTTTGCGGCCGGCAAATTTTGATGTAAAGAGAAACATCTAAAATCAGTTGTTTCATTCTTTTGAACGTTATTTCTTCTTAAAATATTTGTAAAGACACGGATGTATACTTACTATATAGATCATTGGTAAAGGCCTGTCAAAGATGTCTGTGTGCTGCAAATGTTGGCGTATCACTAATTTTATTAAATTGAAGTCCATGGTAGTATTTGTTGAGATTTGAATGCTTGAATTGTTGTAAGAAATAACATAAAGGCTGATACATAAAATGATGCAATATGTTAGCCCAGACTGACAGAAAACCTCGCTGTTTTCTGACATAGAAAATACGGTAGCAATATACCATTTTTCATGACGTTTTTCATTTATATTCTATATATATTATATATTCCATAGTGACAGTTCATCTTGTAGTTGAAGACTCAACAAATGTTGATATTATAAACTAATAATGACTACAAAATATGTGCTAGTTAAAAATATTCAGTTGTAAACGACCGTTTTTGAACGAAGGTGCAACAGGATAACTCTTTAGCTTGGCCCTGTCTCTACATGTGAGTAGTTGTCGCATTGGCATTGATCCGGGAACCGGACCGGAAGCGACAGTTTGGACCGTCGCTTATATCATTTCAAAGGGAGAGTTATTGCCCTTTGGAACCAAAAGATCGGCCATTACTGGGCTCAATCGTAGCTATTACCAGTTACGTCCCTTTTTAAGCCTCTCCTATGGACCAATCAGATTCCACCTCTCGTATCACTTGCGTTTGCTTCACACAAAATGGTGGCGCCCGGTCAGGACGATCTAATCGATAATCAAGATCTGTATTGTCATACATCGCATAATGCATCAAATCACGTGAGCACCTTAAAAACATGAAACGATTTGGATAATATCTGCTGACAACTAGTTGGCGGTGCACATGCTTTGCAAAACATCCACCGAAATCTGCACGAAAGTTAACGAACCGGATTTCGATTTCGGTGCGCAATTTTAATTGGACTATGCATAGACTCGTTCGTCCAGGCAAAATGTAACTCCATTATACCAGCCTAGTTCGGCAAGGGTGGAAACTAGATTTTTAAAGTCAGTTAACTCTCTTGCCTCGGGAAGATGCTCCCAGGGATGCTTCAACAGCATCTCCACAACCCTCACAGTGATGGCACAGCATCTCCACATCCCTCACAGCAATGTCACAGCATCTCCACAACCCTCACAGCAATGTCACAGCATCTCCGCAGCCCTCACCAGGATGTTGTCACAGCATCTCCACAACCCTCGTATGGATGCCTCAACAGTCTCTCCACAACCATCACAGCAATGTCACAGCATCTACACAACCCTCACAGCTATGTTGTCACAGCATCTCCACAACACTCAGCGATGATTTCACAGCATCTCCACAACCATCACAGGGATGCCTCAACAGCATATCTCCACATCCCTCACGTGAATACCTCAACAGCATCTCCACAACCCTCTCAGGGATGCCTCATCAGCATCACCACAACACTCTCAGCAATGTTTTCACAGCATCTCCACAACCCTCTCAGGGATGTCTCAACAGCATCTCCACAACGCTCACAGGGAGGCTTCAACAGCATCTCCACAACCCTCTCAGGGATGCCTCATCAGCATCACCACAACCCTCTCAGGGATGCCTCATCAGCATCACCACAACCCTCTCAGGGATGCCTCATCAGCATCACCACAACCCTCTCAGGGATGCCTCATCAGCATCACCACAACACTCTCAGGGATGCCTCATCAGCATCTCCACAACCCTCTCAGGGATGCCTCATCAGCATCACCACAACACTCTCAGGGATGCCTCATCAGCATCACCACAACACTCTCAGCGATGTTTTCACAGCATCTCCACAACCCTCTTAGGGATGTCTCAACAGCATCTCCACAACCCTCTCAGGGATGCCTTACCAGCATCACCACAACACTCTCAGCGATGTTTTCACAGCATCTCCACAACCCTCTCAGGGATGTCTCATCAGCATCACCACAACGCTCTCAGCGATGTTTTCACAGCATCTCCACAACCCTCTCAGGGATGCCTCATCAGCATCACCACAACACTCTCAGCGATGTTTTCACAGCATCTCCACAACGCTCTCAGCGATATTATCATAGTATCTCCATAACCCTCTGCAATGTTGTCACAGCATCTCCACAACCCTCACAGGGAGGCTTCAACTGCATCTCCACAACCCTCACAGGGATGCTTCAACAGCATCACCTTAACCCTCACAGGGATAACGCAACATTATCTCCACAACCCTCACAGGGATACCTCAACAGTATCTCCACAACCCTCACATGAATGACTCAACAGCATCTCCACAACCCTCGCAGGGATGCCTCAACAGCATCTCCACAACCCTCACAGGGAGGCTTCAACAGCATCTCCACAACGCTCTCAGCGATGTTATCATAGTATCTCCATAACCCTCACAGCAATGTTGTCACATCATCTCCACAACCGTCTCAGGGATGCTTCAACAGCACCTCCAAAACCCTCACATCAATGCCTCAACAGCATCTCCACAACCCTATCA